TCAGGTGGCCACCACCCACCCTGAGGACCTGGAGGATGAATGGGAGGTCATCTGAAGGAACTCTGGGCAGCCACTCAGGAGGGAGAATGCCAAGGTTCTTCAGTGGACACTGCTGATTTCCAAGTCACTCACTCATCAATGCCTCATTAACCCTGCCCAGACACGTCTGTTCTCGTGGACGCCCCACACCTGCCTTCATCTATGTTGATTTCCATCTCATTCCAGCACCCAGCGCCTCAGCTGAGTGCCCGGAGCTGTTGCTGTAGCAGCAGCACCTCTGACCTCTTGCCAAGGTCACCTCCAAGCAGGTGCAATGGCTGTGGCCCCATTGCATGCACTAGTTCCCTGTACTGAGGTCAAATTCTCCACACTCCAGGTCCTGTTTATGGGAGACAACGTGGGGAACAGGGCGAGTCTGAACCAGGATCCAGGGACACCTGTAGCCAGCACAGGCAACAGGGCACCCGGATTGTGTCCACGTGAGTAGTCCTGGGCTCAGTGCAGCTACAGGTCAGTGCCCTCCAACCTCTGGACGTGCCTGGTGATGGTGTCCTCTTCCTCACAGGGCCCCACTTCCTCCCTGAGAGGCAGGTTCCATTGCACACTGCCTGCTCCAGGAGGAACTTGGGGCCGTCCATGTTGGGGAGAGGGCGCTGGCCATGCAGGCTGAAGACACACACAGGCACACCACGCCTCACTGCTGCCTGCACGGCCAGCGGCAAACGCGCCTCACCAGACAGTGAGGGCTGCTGGGGGCCAGCTAGTGAGCGTCAGGCTCTGTCTCGGGCGGCCTGGCCCAGGAGTACCCTGGTCAGACGCAGGGGAGCTGAGCTGTGGTAGCTAGCTTAGAAATGTCCTTGGAGTGCTGTCAAATGCTGCTGGTGGATGTCACAAAGCCAGATATGTCCTCGGAGGACAGATCTCCTAATTATTGCCTTTTTTGTTATATTACAAACCTGCATAAGATACCTCATTTGAAATCAAATCTTACAAATTTAGAAGAGAAGTGTATTTCTGGAGACAAGGGAGGGCCTTCTGTTCCTTCCAGAGGGTTAGCCTGAGCCTGTCCTGTCTTGGCTGGGGCTTCAGAGCAATGGCCATCCCCAGAATGTCCTTGACTGGCAGCCTGGCCTGGTGCCCGGGTAGGTGACACAGTTCCTGCTGTAGAGAGTTGCTGTGGCCTCCTCCTGGTGGTCTTTGTGGTCCACAGGCATCTGAGTTTCAGGACGAGGCTGCTCCACCACGTGTCCACCCTGAGCCCGCCCCTGGCAGCTCCCAGCTGGACTCTCGGCTGGCTGCTACCCCACCTTGCCCAGGCTGGGGAGCCCCCACAGGCCTTGGGAAGGCCCCCCCCCCCCCCCCCGGCAGCCATGGAGAGGGAGGCTTTTCAAATCTCAGCAGGAGATGCTGAAACCCACTTCACTTTTATAGAGCCCTTTTGTAAGAGTTTGGTGACTGTGGAGGCACCCCCAGGTGGGCTGCTCCTCTTCTGCATCTGTTGTGCCTTGCCGGCTCCGCCCAGATGGCAGCGCCCTCCTAAGCCCGTGGGACCTTAGTGCAATTAAACCCAAGTCTAGTTGATACTTTTAGACTACTTTTAGCTTCTGTGCTTTGCACAGTTTTATTTCTGGTTTTAATTTTAGTTGTGCTTTGAGATCGTGCAATAAACTAGACTTTTTCCAAACCTGGTCAGGTCTGATGCTTGAGCTGGGAGAAGGCGCGCTTAGGTATTTCCCAGGGATGTGCTGGGAGGCGCTCCAGCCCAGCCTCACTGGCAGGAGGGTGCTGCCTCCTGGCCTCGTGACCTGGTGGGGGTTGAAATGTGCACCAGCATGTCCAGGAGGTGTCACTGTGATGGCTGCTCCAGAGCAGGATGCACCCAAGGTGGCCTGGGAAGGATGGCCCTAAAGTGGGGTGGGGCACAGGGATTGCCCTCTTGGAGCCAGGGGCAGGTTGTGGGGTTTCTGTGACCCTGCCCTACTAGGAACTAACATCTGAAAAAGGACCACATCCAAGGTTCCAGGAAGCCACCTGAACAAGAAATGTCAGACCGGTGTCAAGAAACGGCCAGGCTTTAGAGACATCAGAGAAAACTTGTGTTAAAAGGAGACTTGTAGGGGCTGGGGTTGTGGGTCAGTGGTAGAACACTTGCCTAGCACGTGCAAGGCCCTGGGTTCGATCCTCAGCACCCCATAAAAGTAAATAAAATAAAGGTATTGTGTCCAACTACAACTGAAAAAATAAATATTTAAGAAAAAAAAAAAAAGGAGACTTGTTTCATGCTCCAGAACAGGAGACCAAACATGAAATTTCTCCTCAGAGAAATTTGCAGGTACAGCTCATTTTCAGTAAGTTTCCTCCACATAACCAAAGTGCCCACACGGCCCCATGATGGCCAGGTGTGCTGCTAGGAGCTCGCAGCCTTGCAGCCTCTATTAGCCCTGTGAGACTCGGGATCCCGTTAACATGCTCACCTTCGTGTAGGGAGCTCAGGTGATTGATGCCACCTCACAAATAGGTGAGAACTGCAAAGAGCGGTGACCAGAGCCCCAGGAGGGCTGGCATGTCAAAGGGCCCACAGCACCATGCAGTCCAGATCCTCGGAGATGCAAGATGGAGGTGCCGCAGATGCGGGCAGGGGGGTTCACAGCTGATGTTGGCCACTGCTTAATTCTGGCAAAATAATAGTAAGTGGAAGAAAGAAATGGAGGAAGTCTCTGTCTTCTGAATGGCTTCTGAATAGAAATCATGACAAGGCCACGAAAGAAAGTCCACGTACAAATTTGATTTCTTCAAAATGCAAAGTCTAAATCAAAAATCCTGCACAGGACTGGAGATGTGGCTCAGTGATACAGCATCTGCCTGACATGGATGAGACCCTGCGTTCAATCCTCAGAGCACAAAACCAGAGCAGGAGACCAAACATGATGTGGAGCCAGCCAACCTACACACCTCTCGTAAGTTAACGGGGAGCCAGGTGTGGTGGTCCACCCCTGTAATCCCAGCAACTCAGGAGACCGGGGCTGGGGGATTGCAGTTTGAGGCTTAACCTCAACAACTCGGCAAAGCCCTAAGCAACTTAGACCCCGTCTCAAAATGTGAAAAAGGGCCAGGGATGTGGCTCAGTGGTAAAACACCCCTGGGTTCAATCCCCAGTACCACAACAAACAAAAATCAAAGAGGGATGCAATGACAAGTAAGATCCTGAGGTGGAGTGTCTACCACAGGCCTTGTCCAAACCCACGGGACAAACGCATCAGACACAAGCAGATGGAAGAGCACGTGTCGAAAGCACTCCCAAAGCTGGGCTCGGTGGCATTCGCCTGTAATCCCAGCGGCTCAGGAGGCTGAGGCAAGAGGATCGTGAGTTCAAAGCCAGCCTCAGCAAAAGTGAGGCACTAAGCAACTCAGTGAGACCCTGTCTCTAAATCAAATACAAGGGCTGGGGATGTGGCTCAAGCGGTAGCGCGCTCGCCTGGCATGCGTGCGGCCCGGGTTTGATCCTCAGCACCACATACAAACAAAGATGATGTGTCTGCCGAAAACTAAATAAATATTTAAAAATTCTCTCTCTCTCTCTCTCTCTCTCTCTCTCTCTCTCTCTCTCTCTCTCTCTCTCTTTCTGGAAAAAAAAAAAATCAAATACAAAATAGGGCTGGGGATGGGGCTCAGTGATCAGTGCCCCTAAGTTCAATCCACAGTACCTCCCCACCAAAAAAACACTGCCAAAGTCAGGCGTGGTACCACCGGGCAAGGACCCAAACCTGTCACCATGAACTCCACTTCTGGAAACCTGCACTCAAGAACACCAAGACATCCAGCACCCATTCCTCATAAGGAAGTTCTGAAAGCAGCCTGCGTTGGGGAGGGCCAGGCCACCTGAGCGCAGGCCCGGCGAAGTGTGGTGCGTGCTGGCAAGTGGCCCTCCTCACTGTGTCAGTGAAATCCCGTGTGTGGGTGCGACGGTTTTAAAAAGGAGATGAGAAGAGGGAGGAAGGTGACAGCATTGTGGAATGGTGCTCACTCTCCAACCTTCTGGCCGACTTGCGGCTTTTCCCAATTCCAGGGGAGAAAACTGGGGAAGAAACAGGTTCTATATGGGGACAAGAAATTGGTACAGTGGTTGCTTGTAAGCATATACCTTTTGTATCATTTGAATTTTGAGCCATGTAAATATTTTATTCCAAAAATAAATAAATTTACATTTTAAAAATTCAGTTATCTCTGGGCTGTGGTTGTGGCCCAGTGGTCAGCACGTGCCTAGCATGCGTGAAGCCCTGGGCTCAATTCTCAGCACCACATATAAATAAATAAAATAAAGGTCCATTGACAACTAAAAAAATATTAAAAGAAAAAATATTTTCAAAAAAATTCAGGGGCTGGGGATGTGGCTCAAGCAGTAGCGCAGTTGCCTGGCATGCGAGCACCACAAAAATAAAATAAAGATGTTGTGTCCACCGAAATCTATTAAAAAATTTCTCTCTCTCTCTCTCAAAAAAAAAAAAAAAAATCAGCTATCTCTAACATCAACTTTTTCTTGTGGGGAGGGAGTGAACTCGGGCACTCGACCACTGAGCCACATCCCAGCCCTATTTTATATTTTTTTTAGAAATAGATAGGGTTCTCACTGAGTTGCTTAGCTTGCTGAGGCAAGCAGCTGGGATTACAGGCATGTGCCACTGCACCTGGCTACTAACATTAACCCTTTACTGTATCAATGCTAGTTGAGTCAAATATTAAAAAAAACCACCAAAGACTTCTTTAAAATCTTACTTACAGTTGGCACGTGCCTGTAATCCCAGCTGCTCTGGAGGATCACAAGTTTGAGGCCAGCTTCAGCAATTTAGCAAGGCCCTTAGCAACTTAATGATGCCCTATCTCAAAATTAAAAAAAAAAAAAAAAAAAGAAAGAAACACAAGAGTTGGGAATATAGCTCAGTTGTAAAGTGCCCCTGGGTTAAACCCTCAGTACAAAATGATAAATAAATTGTAGCCAAGTGTAGCATTACACACTTATAATTCCAGTGACTCAGGAAGCTAAGGCAGGAGGATTATAAATTCAAAGCCAGCCTGCACAATTGAGCAAAACCCTGTCTCATAAAGAACCGGGGCTGGGGTTGTGGCTCTGTGGTACAGCACTTGCCTTGTATATGTGAGGCACTGGGTTTGATTCTCAGCACCGCATATAAATAAATGAATAAAATAAAGGTCCATCAACATCTAAAAGAGTGACCCGCTCCTGTAATCCCAGTGGCTTGGGAGGCTGAGGCAGGAGGATCGCTGGAATGGCCCACTCCTATAATCCAAATGGCTTGGGAGGCTGAGGCAGGAGGAACGTGAGTTCAAGACCAGCCTCAGCAACTTAGCGAGGCGGTAAGTAACTCAGTGAGACCCTTCTCCAAATAAAATACAAAAAGGAGCTGGGGATGTTGCTCAGTGGTTAAACACCCCTGGGTTCGATCTCCAGTACCAAAAAAAAAAGTAAAGAATGGGGGATGTAGCTTTACCTTGGGTGTGGCAGGCGCTTTAGAGAACCCCTTGAGTTCAAACTCCAACACCACAAAAAACAAAAAACAAACAAAATCCCGTAAATCATAAACATGATGTCTGTCTACATAAAAGTTAAAACTTTTGTACAGCTAAAATAACCATATCACCTTCAAAAAAAAAAAAAACATGCACCAAGTATGTGCCAAAGGGCTAGTACCTTTAATACACGGTTCTGTTTTGTTTTTGTATTATTGGGGATTGAATTCTGGGGCACTCAACCACTGAGCTTCATTCCCAGTTCTTATTTTTGAGACACGGACTCACCAAGTTGGCCAGACCAGCCTACAACTTTCCATCCTTCCTTAGCCTCCCAAGATGCTGAGATTAAGGCATGTGTCACGGCCCCTGGCTTGGTCACTGAACTCTTCTTAATGAGCTGGGTTCAGGGCTCTTGGAACATTGCTGGGCACTTGGTCATACATAGGGGGAGAGAGTAGTGACATTTAAGAAATAAACCAACAAACCAATGTGCTTCGTCACAGAGAATGAGGTTTGTCAGTCACCTGCCATGGACCAAGAGCAGAGCTGCCATACGCCAAGGGCCTGGGCCTGGCTGGCTCTGACTCCCTCCAATCCTCTGGGTCTGCCCCGAGTCCTGCAAGCTCACTGCCAGGAATGACAACAGTGACAGATGCACCAGGGTCCTCACAGCCCTTCCTGGGTGTGGCAAGCCAAACTCTGGGGCCCCCTTCGCTCTCCCAGCAGCAGGCACCAGATAACCTTATCTGCCAGCACCACGTGAAGTTCTCTGCTCCACTGCAGGGTGGAGGGTTGGGCCAGGCCGGCTGCTGAGCTGTGCCGGGGTCAGGCTCCACTCTGGTCTGTGGCCTCCTGTGACTCCCTGTGCCCTTGCCTCATCCACCCCAATCAGTGAACACTAAGGTGTCCTTGCCTCTACCCACTTGCCCCTGTGGGCACAGGGGTCAACCAGTCACTCAGCAATGATGTGGCTGTCCCACAACTACTGTTACCCCACAGAGTACCTGAAACAAACCACCCTCCGGAGCCCTAGACCCTGCCCTGCACCTTCCTGCAGCTGGGGATTCCTGCCCATAATTCCTCCAGATGGCAGGATCCCATACCTGCCTCCTCCTGGTTGTCCCAATGGGTTCTATAGAGGGACCCTCCCCTAGGCCAGGGGTCCAAAGGTTGTCACTAAAGGAGGGGAAGTACAGGGACATCTAGCCCTGGACACACTGACCCAGAGGACAACACCAGACAGGAGAGATGTGAAGTCTATACCCAATAGCTGTCCAGCTTTCTAGACAGAATGGCTGGGCTGACAGGCTCCCAAAAGCCTGACAGGCCCCACCCCAGCAGTCCTGCAGTCTACTGCTGTCCTTCAAAGGAAGAAAGTGAAAGTCCTCTGCAATGGCATCCTTATTGTGAGAACCAGGGAGCCTTGATGCCCTAGGCCTGGGGCTGGGCAGCTAGTATCCACTAAGTGCAGAGGTTCAAAGAGGCTGTTTAGCTGGTCCAGGGCACAACAGGAGGGGAGAAGACCCTCTCCAGTCTGGATCTGGGCTCAGAAGGTCGTGTGCCCTCTTCATCTTTCCCTCTCCATTCCCACTAGGACAGTATACCACCCACCCCACACTCCTGCACAATGGGGGAACATCCTTTTCAGGGTTGGCAATAAGCTGAGATAGTCCAAAATCCCTTGAAGACAGATGAGAAAACCAGGGCCCAGGGCAGAGGTTTTGTCCAAGGTCACCCTGAAAGTGGGTATTGGGTCTAGATCCCCAGGCAAGATCTGTTGTCTGGGCCTTCCCCGCCCTCCCTCCTAGACTCTGCCACCTGGCAGGCAGGCTCCCCTCAGGAACACTGGGTGCAGGGCAGGCAGCAGGTGCCCTGGCAGGACATCACAGCCCTCCAGCCCATGCAGACCCAGCAGGATTCCCCAGCCAGGCAGCCTGGCCACCCTGCCTGGTCCTGAGGCTCCTCAGGAGTGGTACATCTTCTCAGTCAGTCCCCTCATCCTGCAGGATGGCAGCACACTCACAGGGTAACAAATCTTCTTGGAGAAATCAGCTCTCCAGTCACGGGCAAGAAGCCTGCCCCTGGGGTGACACACCCACCCCTCCATCATCATGGACACCATCTAATGCCCACTCTGAGTGGGCCAGGGAGTCATCCCTGGACCAAGAGGAAAACACACCTAACCCCAGGAGGGGATAAGAAGCTGGGGGCCCCAGGCCTGGGGCCTACCAGGTACAATGGCTGAGCTGAGAAGCAGGAGCCCCAGGAAACTGCCTGCCAGTTGTGGGCAAAGAGCAAAAGGTGGTGACAGAGTCAGAGCCAGGCCTGGGTGGGCCAGCTATCAGTGGGAGATACAGGAAGCCAGTGACACCCAAGGGGCTCATGGCTAGAGTAGGGTGGGGATACAGGAAGGCACAGCCTGGGTCAGGCCTCTGCCAAGCTCCTGGCACAGCAGACTGCCCAGTCCTGCTTGTCCCCCCTCAACTGCAGGATCAGGTCCAGGCCCCACCAGAGAGTTCACTACGAGAGCCTCCTGTCATAACTCCCCACTGGGCCTGTCCTCTTGGCCTCCAGGCCTCTGCACATTCCGTCCCCCTGCTTGCACAAGTCAGTCCCCTCCCCCTGTGCCTGCTCAATTCCTGCTCAGCTCAGCAGCCACCCTCTTTGGGACACTCCCAGCTCCAGATCTGAGTGGGAGGCTGGTCCTCACCCCTTTGCAGAGCTAGGCAATGAGGGGAGTATATGACCGGAGCCCCACTTGGGCAGGAACATGGGGAGCTGGATCCAGCTGCACCCAGGAAACCTGGGAGCCTTGCCCCATGGCATGTGACAGATGAAGCAGATTCTCCTGTACAGAGATCAGTATATGTAAAGTGCAGGTACAATGCTCCGAAAAACAGTTCTGTCCCCAAATCCCGCACCCCCTGGGTCTAGCCCTTGCCAGTGAGGTCCAAGGGCTGCAGGAAGGGCGGCAGCGGCAGCTCATCCAGGGCCTCAGGGAAGCGGCCAGGAGAGATGGCGGTGACCAGCACCTGCATGGCACGTGCAAAGAGAGATGGCGGGGCCAGGCCTGCCAGCCACTGGAACTTGTCCTCACCCAGAAGCCGCTGCCAGCGCGGTCGGTCATCCAGCAGCTCCCGGCGGGCTGGGCCTGCGGCACCCGCAGGGGTGTACAGCGCCAGTAGGTCAAGCAGTAGCAGGCGGCGCTGGCGTGGCTCCCCAGACACAGTGTTGGCAGCAGTGGCGGAAGAGGCAGCCCCAGCGGCAGGGACAGAGCCTGCATCACGGCCCAACTGGCGCAGCAGCAGCTCCAGTGGTGTGAGGCCACCACCATCACGGAGGCCAGGCGAGGCGCCGTGGCCCAGAAGCAGGAAGAGGCACTCGGGGCGCGCCAGCTCACAGGCCACGTGCAGCGAAGTGCCACCACCCTCCACGCGGCTACAGCCACGCCGGTCCAGCAGGCGCGCGCGCTCCTCAGCTGGGAAGTCACGCACAGTGCGCAGGATGCGCCGCAGGATGCCCACGCGGTTGTAGCGCACAGCCAGCGGCACGTGAGGCCCGGGCGCCGCACAGCAGCGGAAGCCCGCGCTGGGTGGCGCAAGTGCGCGCCGCGGGAAAGTGGCCAGCAGGTAGTGTGCGTAGGCCTGGTGGTCGTGCACCAGCGCGTAGAGCAGCGCCTCCGAGGGTGAGTAGGCCGCGGCGCGCCCGCGCTCATCCCAGTGGAAGGCCTCGCTGGCGCGCATGTCCTCCAGGAGCCACACGGGAAGCAGGTCGCGCACCGCCTGGTAGAAGGCAAAAGACGACTTCCGGCATTGTTTCTGTGCCCGAGAGCGGGCTGCGCCGGCACCCTCAGGGCCACCGTCTGCACCGCCCCCAGGCCTTGCGTCCCAAGGCATGCTGGCAGCCTCAAGGCATGGGCCCCAGGACAGACCAACCTGCGGGCAAAGGGTGCAGTGAGGAGAGGGCTCCGGCTTCATCACGACCCTCTGACGTGGGTTGTCCCATCTACCCCCACAGCCCCACTGGAGCCTTGAGCTTTCTGTCTGGGACTCTCCTACCTGCCTCCTGCCTCAGCCTGGCCCCTGCAGTCATTGCCCCTACCTATAGTCTCTCCTAGGCCCAAAACCCACAGCCTGCTTTCTTGATCTGGCAGCACCTGATCTCCCTCCCTGAAGTTGTCTTGCTCTCTGGCACCCGCTAGAGAAACCCTAACCTGGTCAGCCCTTCAAAGTCTCCCACCCCTCTCCAGCCCGGAAACGGGGGAAAGAGTGCCTGTTCCCACCTCTGCCAGGTCCATCAACCCCGAATAAGAAGCCAGGTAGTTGACAGGAAAACTCAGGCCCATATCTCAACCTGAGCCAAATCCATTTTCCGCCCCTAACTCCCCGACGACTCCAATCCCACCTCTGCTTTGATCTTGCCCTCGGACCCCTTACCACTGTCAGGCCCCCTGAGCCTCTTCCCAGGCTGATCAGACCTACCTGGTTCCTGACACACGATCACCAGGTTCCGTGATTGTCTTTCACCTTCCCTCAAGAAACCTCAGCTTCCTCATCTGTAGGAGAGGGAGTGGATTGTGGCCGGTTGTGGCTGGCTGTGAGCCCCAGCAGGGCGAGTGGGGGAGTGGCTCCGACCCTACATCTCCTCTGGGTCAGTGCCCCTGGGAGGAGGCAAAGGGTGAAGTCAACCTAGAGGCTGCACTTCAGTCTGCAGTCCCTCCCCTCCAGTTCGGCCGACGCCTTTCTGGATCTTCACACAGGATGCTGGTACTGCCACCCATTTACCAGCAGGGGACAAGCTTATCCAAGGTCAGTCACCAAGTCATGGTGAAAGCAGTTCCAATTTGGGCTCATTCCAACATGGTGAGGACCCCAGCCTGAACTCTGACCCTGCCTTCAATGCCCCAGCCCCTACCTGAGCCCCGCCCCCGGCCCCACCACCCTGGTGTCTTTGGGCAAGGGTAAGCCTTCGGTCAGGAGGGCCCTGGGGCAGCAGTCAGGCCACATCCACACACACTGGGTGGACCCCTCGCAGCAACTGGGCTACAGAGGTGGACACGGCGGGCTGGGCTGTGGCCATGTGCCCTCCTGGAGTCAGGGCCTCTGTGTCCCAGGTGCAATAAGTGGGCACGCGTGGGGCGCCGGGCGCGTTACGTAAAGTTCGGCGGCCCCACGTCACTGGGCAGAGTCACCGCCTCGGCTCCGCGACGGGGTTGGGCCCCAGGACAGCGCCGCGAGCCGGGCCGCCCGCCAGTTCCTCCCCGCCCTTCCCAGCGGGCACGACCCGACCTCGGCCGCAGCGGGTCACCCCCACGAGCCCAGTGTCTGCCGGCCGGTGGCGGGCGCGGTGAGGGTTTCACCGTGGCGTGCTGGGCAGGGCGGGGACCGCCGCCCGGGTTGCTAGCCGCGGGCGCGGGGGGACTCACCGCGAGGGACGGTGGGCCGAGCGTCCCGGTCCCTGCTGCGGGCTGGAGCGCGCGCCGTCCCCGTGCGGCAGGCAGGCGGAGGTCCCAGCACGGACCGCACGGGGGAGCCGCCGCCGCCGCCCGCGCCCGCCGCAGCCGAGCTCTGGGTCGGGTAGCTAGGCGGCGGTGCCGGCGCCGGCGACGGGAGGCGCAGTGCGGCCCGGGCCGGCAGGACCGCGGGACTGCCCGCCACCGCCATTGGCCCGCGCTGCGGGTCCCCGCCGCCGCCCATTGGCGGCCGCGCTGCACCATTGTTGCGTCACGGGCCGGAGGGCGGGGCGTACAGCCTGATCTGAGGAAAACTTCGGAGAAACTTGAGGGCGCGGGGGGCGGGGCCGGGGGCGGGGCTCAGGAACCCGGTTGCCCCCGAGGGACCGCCCGCGCCGGGCTGGGCACCTGGAGCCGCGCCCACGGGGCAAAGCCAGGGTCGAGGTGCTGGTAGGCACCCCGGCGCCCTCCTTGTGAGGCTCTCCTCGTGGCTCCGCGAGTCAAGTTCCAAGACTCCTTTGACCTGACTCTCGCCGACCTTGGGAAAACCCCCTATGGTCTGGGCCTGGGGTGGAAGCTGTGCCCCAAGGATTCCCATCGCGTGCTGCCCGTCGTCGTGGGAGTCGTAGCACAGCGAGCTCCAGGCTCATCTCCCAGGGAAGGGTCGGACCGAGGGTGTGGATGGGTGGATGGAGGGAGATGTGTGTGGCACCTGCGTCTGCCCTCCCTGTCTAAACACACTTGATTTCACTTTATCACAACCACCAGCCGCCAAGAATTTCCTGCTCAGAGAGAGAGCGGTAGCCTGCAAGGAGAGCCAGAAGGGAAGCCCTTGCTGTTCCTCAGACGCTTGTGAATTGGGCCCTGGCCCCCCAGCCTTCCCACAATGGGCCTGGGATTTGGGGTAATAGATTTGGAGGCTCAGGAGCCTAGAGTCCTGAGGTCCTGGGGTCCCAAAAGCACTAATTCATGCCTTTACACCCCAGTAGTTAGGAATTCTGGACCTTTATTTTTTAATTTTTTAGTTATACATGGGCACAATATCTTTATTTTGTTAATTTATTTTTATGTGGTGCTGAGGATAGAACCCAGGGTCTCATACCTTCGGGGCGAGCACTCTACCACTGAGCCACAACCCAGCCCCACCTTTTTTTTTTTTAATACAATTTTTTAAACAATTTTTTTTAACTGGGGATTTGGAACCTGGGCATTCTACCACTGACCTACATTCCCAGCCCTTTTTACTTTCTATTTTGAGAAGGCAGGTTAAATTACTCAGGCTGGCCACAAACACGGGATCATCTTGATTGCCTGGGATTTCAGGCATGTGCCACCACAACTGGCCATTTTACAGACATTGAGAACCACAGACCCACAGCCCATGCAGGGATGCTGACAGGTCCTCACTAGAGCATCCCAGCGCCTTCTCATACAGGGAGAAAGTTATTACCTTCATCCCAACCCTTTCTCCTGCCTCTGCTATGGAGAGAGGGATCCAGCCTACAGGGCAAAACTGAGCACACAGTCAGCCCTGCCCTGGCTCCTCTGTGTCACCCCAGGAAATTAGGACAAGACTAGAGGACCTGCCTGGGCCAGAGTCTCCTCTGAACAGACCCAAGCAGACCCCTACCACAGCACATGCCTGTCCATTCTCCTACACACATGATATGAACATACACAGGGCACACATGGGCTTCTCCTGTAGCACTGTGCCCTGGGAGGCAGACAAGGCTCTCAGACCAGAGAGAAGGCGGCCCAGGCCGACCTGGGGAAGACGGGCATCCATGTGCCCCAGGCTGCCATCTGTGTATGGTGGCTGCTGACAGCAGCAGCCCTGCCCCACCTCAGTACCATAGGAACTCTCTCAAGGGATCCATGGCATCCACTAAGTTTGAAGAAACTCTGTCTATGGCCAGGGGTGGGGTTATAGAGAGCACTAGGCTCGGAATCTGAGCCCTGCTTTTGCCCACCTCAGCTTTCAACAAGTTCTCACTCATTTATTTTAATTTTTTTGGTCCTGGAGATTGAACCCAGGAGCATTCTACCATTGAGCCACATCCTCAGCCCCTTTTTAAATTTCGAGACAGGTCTTGCCACATTGCCAAGGCTGACCTTGAGCTTGCAATCCTCCTACCTCAGCCCCCTGAGTCACTGGGATTACAGGTGTAGCCACTGTGTCCACCATCTCCTCCCCTTGTGAGGCCTCAGTCTCCCTAAGGTTTCTCCCAGCTTCCCCTGTTCTGAAGGTCTTTGAGAATGATGGAGGGCAAAACGAATGACCTTTGGGAGCCCCCAGACCCTTCAGGACATCCTAGGGAGCGGTCCCCAGGTGGGCAACCTTGGGCTCAAGACAGCTGTGCCCTTGTCCCCATTCTGCTCCTCCAGGGCTTGAGGTGAGACACAGCCGTCACATGGCTACTGGTGGACAGAGGCAAAAGGCCATGATTGTGGATGCCAGAATGTGCTCTTGGCTGGGTACACTTCCATGCTGTCCCTCTTTGCTCAGGTTCTCAGAGGACTCTTTCAAAAAAGTCAAGACTGACCCTGTTGCTCCACTGCCTTAGAAACATCGGACAGGCAAGGACACTTAGCCTGAAACACCAGATGGGAGACACTTCTGTTAGGTCGGTGGCTGCCACAACAAAGCAGTCCCCCGGGGAAAGGAACATCAATCAGGCGCCAGCGGATACACCTGTCAATCACGAGATCTCCTAACACCTGTCAATTAGCAGGACCCCCTGGCCAATCCTGGAGTTCAGCCAACTCCCCTGACCCACTCCAACAAGGGACAAGGGACCCTAAAAACACCTTTTCCTGTCCCAAGCCCTTCCCTTCCTGCTGTAAGCTCCATAAAAGTGCAGTCTGGTTGAGCTTCCACGCGGTTTCTCCTCAGACCCTTCCCCTGTCCACTCTGTAGGTCAGAGTTCCACCCGGGAGTGATATCTCAATAAAGCCTCCTTCGGCGGCCTTTTTAAATCGGCCTCCTTTGGTCGCTGCCACCTCACCTGATCTGACAGGCACAGGTAGTGCAGGGCCTGGAGACAAGAAGGGAGGCTGCAGAGGTTGATGGGTGGGCTGTTCCCTAGGGGTTTTATAAGCTGGGGCAAGGAGCTTGGGTTTAGTGTTCAGACAATAGTGGAGGTGGAAGGGACTTATTTTGTTATTGAATTCATTCATGAAAAGCACACAAATAATGACAAATGCCTGGAAGCCCATGATCCCAGTTAAGAGATACCATGGGACTAAATGTGAAGCCCTGGGTGGGCTGGGGCTGGGGCTCAGTGGTAGAGCACTTGCCTAGCATGTGTGAGGCCCTGGGTTCAAGCCTCAGCACCACATGTAAATAAATAAATAAAAATAAAGGTCCATCAACAACTAATTAAAATTAAAAAAAAAAACATGATGCCCTGGGCACCTGCTCTTTTCCTGCCACCCAGTGGCATTCCTGGCTGCATGGGTCTTTCTTATGGCCACATGGTGGCTGACATTGTAACTTTCTCCATCTTGGTGGCAGACGTCCCTTATCCTCAGCAGCTTGCCTTTTCCTCCCAAGATCACTTCTATGACTCAAACATGTCCCCAGGGCGCATGCACTGGCAACTGAATCCCCAAATGCACCAGTGTTGAGAACTGGGGCCTCTAAGAGGTGACTGGGCCATAAGGCCCCCACCCCCAGAGAGCTTCAAGACAAAAGGATGAGTTCTTGATAGACCCAACCTGATCTTTTCTTAAAATTGGGCATCTCGCCACAAAACCATGAAAAGCTAATTTCGGCTTTACTATAAATTACTGCAAATTCTGAACCTGCTTGGAATGCCTGCCCGTGCCTTGAACTCACCCATGCCTGGCTCTCTGACCAGATAGCAGCTCTCTCTGAAACTTAGTGACACCTCATAAATATTGGCCTTCCCTGGCCAGACAACGACCCTCTCTGAGGCTCTAATGGTCCTCATAAATTCTGATGTTGGGGCCAGCAAAAAATGTAAACTACCATTAGTGTGATGCTTGTCAGAGTTCTGTTATCTGTAACCCCCCTTTGTGTAACATTCTGGGCTATAAAGCTGGGCTGCAGGAAAGCTGGGGTGCTGTCTTGTTCCCGCCGTTTTGGGAGGGAGAGGCAGCCCGGACGATCAAAATAATAAGCTTGCTTTAATTTGATTTTAATTGGAGTCAGTGGTCTTTTCTTGCATCCTGGTCTAACATTCTGTCCCCTTCCCTTCTCTGCCTTCCTTCCCTCCCCTCCTTCCTCCCCCTCTTCCCAGCCTCAAGAATTCTAAGAAATCAATCTTTGGGGCTGGGTTGTGACTCAGCAGTAGAGGGCTTGCCTTGCAAGTGTGAGGCACTGGGTTCGACCCACAGCACTACATAAAAATAAATAGACAAAGGCATGCTGTCCATCTACAATTAAAAATAAATAAAAAAGAAAGAAGTCAATCTTTGTTCCCTGTAACAGATGTTCTATTACAGAGGCAGATCCATCCTCAGGGCACCTGTGACTGCTGAGTCCTGGTCTCCCTGAGAAAGCTGTCCCCTGCTCCCAGCAATGCCTTGAACATCCCCGCCTACACCTCCTGGGGGGTGTGGCCAGCAGGCTATCCCCCTCCACAGCTGTCTCAAAAGCCCTCCAAGGCTGCCCAGGGGACAGTGTGGACAGCCGTTAATGGGCAGACTCCTAAAGGAAGTTGGATGGCCTCAGGGTGTGACGCACAGCTGGGGCAGGGGATGAAGGGTGGATGATGATTCCCAGAGAGGCTTGGGGCAGGGAGGGGCTGAGGGCTGAGTCTTGCCAACTGGGGAGAGGATTTGACTTTTACCCTTGCCTGCTCCTGCTGAGACCTGACTTGAAGCACCCTCCCTTCACTTGGCCCTCCCTCCAGGGCAGAGGTCTATGTGTGAGCTGATTGGGAGGCTGCTCAGTGAGGCCAGAGATGGGGGGGTTCAAATCCTGGGACCTACATCCTGCAGGTTCTGGGCATAGGAACTCAGCAGCTGGCGCTGGATTTCTGGCCTCCCTCTGGGCTGCTGAGAATCAGTGGCCGGGCGTGAGGGGGTGGAGGTGCCAGCCACCATGGCTTTGAAGGGGTGTTGGTAAAGGGTGGTATGGGGGCCTTGGAGAGAAGCACTGTGTTCTGCACGGATTCTGCAGATCAAAT